ATGTCACAACTAAAAATCACAAGAACCACAAGAACCTCAAAATGAGCAAATTCTAAGTTCTTTTAATCATGACATACTGTAGACTGGTAGGTGACTACTAACGTTTCGATGAAAAGTTCTGCCCCCATTTTCTGGGAAGAAAACTATACGTCACATAATAGAAGATAATTTTCATAGTCACCACTATGAGTAACTCAAATTCCTCCAGTTCAGTCTCAATTTCCTGGGTTCTGACAGCATGTAGGCTGTTTGTAATTAGTAGCGTTTCGGAGGGACCTGCTATCTCTATCATCAGGTTAAAAGTAACCGTCATTGCTGTGAAAATTATAAATCTCACATTCAAAAATGTAACTTCCGGCATATCTTCCCTAAGCGAGAGATTTCTGCATTCCATGACAAATCTTTTTGGTTTCTCGTTCTGTCCTATATAAAGTAAGAGATTCCGTCTACTTTCCATTAACAAAGTGCGTAGTCGTACCACACATTGTGCAGTGTTGCACTTTTCTTGCTATAATTACACACTGGTTAAAAATTATAAAAAAAAGTAAAATTATCCTTGTAACAGGCCGTGGAGGTCCATAGGGTTATGAGACGTCAAGGCTGAAACATTTTCTAGACAATCAGCTCACAGATGGCGGTAAGATTGGCAGCCTTATGCGTTGTCCGTCCTTTACTCCCAGGAAGATTCCTGGTATTCATTTCTTTTAGAGGCTGAGTCGATCCCAGAACCATAATGCAGCTGGAAGGATTAGGTCCACTGAGAAATTAATGACTTGATCGGGAATCGAACTCGCGACCCTCCGGTTTGTACCATAACCAACTACGCCACCGCTTACCCCGGTGCTTGTGTGAGAACTTAAACATTTTGAGTTTGGGGTAACCACCAGAGGCATAAACTTCATATGAGAATCGACCATAAGTTATAAAAATAAATATAAGGGTCCCCCCCCCACCTGTAAGGAAGGAAGACAGGGTACAAATAGTCACCGGAATTCGAACAAGAGGCTAATTCAGTTACCTTTGAGCCAGGCCACGTTTCACATGTTCCTAATACAGTACGAATCTCATAAAACTGTACGTTCAGACCGAGAAGACGTGGCGTGGGCAGGCAGTGGGGACCTACTGAAGAGGTACAGCTCTTGGTTACGTGACTTGGGCCTATATAATAAATGTTGGAGGTTTCGTATCTCATTCCCATCACTCAGAAAGCATTCCTATTATTACGTCATCAGAGATAAGACGGGTTACCCCGCACTTACATGTTAATTAAGCACAAATGCCCTCGGCTAATAACAATAAATCTTAAGGGAACGTTCTTAACCACGAACATTTGCACATAAACTTGCATCTTAGCATATGAATCGATTGGTATACTGTGTCTAAAACATCTTTGTGTGTACGTCATCATCAGAGAGTGACGTAGATCATTATGTAATGATTATAAGGTTACTTAATTATATTTTTAAGTTATAATGAGAACCAAATTAGATATTCTGGAGGTTTCGTTAAACGGAAATGAATTTCAATCGTAAATTTGCATACTTAGTGTATGACGTAAACTTGAAGATGTTTTGGACAGACAATATTAATTTCTTTAAGAGTAGCAAGGGGAATCGGACAGAGTATAATATTACAACATATATGAGAAATATTTCCATATTCTAGTTCAGGTCATGCAGAAGAATGAGCAACATTAAAAAAAAAAAGTTTCATAACTTATTCTATTCGCCTAGAAGTTATGTGTTCTGATTGACCAAATCAAACGAAGACGAAAACATTATTTTATTCTGGGATGTGATATAGTTATTTCATTCGTGATTTATTTTGTGACGCTGTCAGTGTCTAAACTACACAGTGTGTAACGGCAGGACGACTGATAAATAAATCAGAGGAGATATGGGAGGAAATGTTCATGACCTAATCTAGGTAAATCCTGGTATTTGTCTGTAATAACTGAGAAAAACTCCGAGAAATTTCAGTCAAAAAAAAAGCAAGTCTCTCGACAGAGAATCGAAACGAAGTTCTCCTGAATAAAAGTCTAGGCCGTTATAGCTAGACAGATCTGCTCGGACTTGCCATATATTTTGGTAGAAATTTACTATCGTCTTGGAAGAACATTCTGCCTCCATCTTCAGGATTCTAATCTGGTTCCTGTAAAATGTTGGTAACTTTCTATCAGACGGAGTGGCGTATAGACAGGATTTAGGACGTGTGTAGGGACGTCCTGGTCTAGTATCCCAACCCAGGAAGTTCACGCTAGCAACACTTCAGTGTTGCTTGCTTTGTGAATTTAGGCAAAAAAAATCCTACACTAAATGTCGCCATTTTATTGCCGCGTCAGAGATTTATTTATTTGTTTTACGACCTCGTGCTGGGGCACAAACCATAAACAATTTGTAAGATATTCGGATTAGAGAAACTTTTAAAGTAATTTATATTCGGACATAAAATGGCTTCGCTACACCTACACAGAACACCAGTGCTACCAACGTAAGAGAGTTATTCTATGAAGTCAAAACCTCGTTACAGCAGGAAGAAACAAAGCACATTCATCATTGTTCGATTCCCAGGTTATGACGGAATGGTAAGAACTTGCATTTTTTTTTTTATTAAGATTTTATTTTTTGTTGGGTCTTTATCTTGTTTAAAAGGATTTAATTTATTTCACTAATAAAAACAGGAAATTTCTCCTCTTATTATCATAGATATGGAGAAATAGCTTGCTGACACAACAATTTCTATCCGTGTGAAATATTTTCATCTAAACAGAAAAAAATACCTAATCTCTAAACGTGAAATGTTAAAACGCAGTTATCTTTACACTAAGATTGGGGTGCTCGTGCAAACAGTGTAACAGTGCAACTTCCCAGAAGACAGTACTCTTCATAGTCACTTCTGTGAGAACTTCCCAGAAGACAGTACTCCTCATAGTCACTTCTTTGAGAACATCCCAGAAGACAGTACTCTTCATGNAGTCACTTCTATGAGAACTACCCAGAAGACAGTACTCTTCATGGTCACTTCTGTGAGAACTTCCCAGAAGACAGTACTCTTCATAGTCACTTCTATGAGAACTACCCAGAAGACAGTACTCCTCATAGTCACTTCTAAGAGAACTACCCAGAAGACAGTACTCCTCATAGTCACTTCTGTGAGAACTTCCCAGAAGATAGTACTCTTTATAGTCACTTCTTTGAGAACATCCCAGAAGACAGTACTCTTTGTAGTCACTTCTTTGAGAACATGCCAGAAGACAGTACTCCTCATAGTCACTTCTATGAGAACTTCCCAGAAGACAGTACTCTTTATAGTCACTTCTATGAGAACTTCCCAGAAGACAGTACTCTTTATAGTCACTTCTTTGAGAACATCCCAGAAGATAGTACTCCTCATAGTCACTTCTATGAGAACATGCCAGAAGACAGTACTCTTCATAGTCACTTCTATGAGAACTTCCCAGAGACAGTACTCTTCATAGTCAATTGTGTGAGAACATCCCAGAAGAGAGAACTCTTCATAGTCACTTCTGTGAGAACATCCCAGAAGAGAGAGCTCTTCATAGTCACTACTGTGAGAACCTCAAATCCAATACAAGGATGGCAGTTTTTCCATAATACTCGTTTTTCACAGTTTGTCATTATTAATATTTCCATGGAAACAAAATAGAAAACAAATCTCAGTCAGCTAAGACACGACCAAAAAATGACAGTAATAAGAAATAGTGTTTCAGTCGGTATTACTGTGTTAACTTTTGTAGAAATTGTATCCCTTGACTATCATTTTTGCCCTTGTTTCTTTCCATAATGTTTCAAGTTCATAGTGTGCATATTCAATTAAACCGTAATTTCAACGAGTCCCTCAAGGGTTCTACTGTGGAAGAATAATCAATACAGGTGTTAGTTGTGGAAACCATATCTAGAAATTGAAACTGTCAAGCTCTCCTGTTAAATTTTCACTAGTGCACCGTAACTTGCAACGAACATGCTGTCCAATGCAAAATACGAATAGTTATATGCTCAGCATGACACAACAGGTGAATATGATGAAGCCTGAACATTATCAGGTTTCGTACTGAAATTTATCGTGAGAATAACCTCCAGAGGGTGCATAGTATTGACAGAATTTTGTAATTACATCGTTGTTTTTCTCTCCTAAAAATATGAGGCAGAACCAAGCCAAAGTGTTTCTGACAGGTGGAGGCAAACTCCGACCTCTGAAACTGGGATTCATTACCTGTTTGCTCCACACCATTTGGAACAGACAACATAACATATCAGCAGAACCTTTAATTTACACAGGTGGACTTTATACAACTTTCTCTTTTCATTTTAATAAAAAAGCAGTGAGCGGTAATTAAATTATCCGGAGATATGTAAGTTGTATTCATTATGTTACTCATCTTGAAATCTATAATTTCTCCAAGCTTTGTTTCATTTTCAATTTGTGTTTTCCACACTAGTTTTATAAGTTTGTAAAATCAACTGAATTTATATAAATATAATTAGTCTATCTGAACATGAATTCCTATAGTTCTGGGGTCAAAAATTTTAAATTGATATACACAATATTTAAAAATTTGGTTTCTAACTTGAAGAATATGTATTCCATATTTCTATATATCACAAATAACAAATCATGTTGCACGAGTTAATAAGCAGAGTGCCAAATAAATTGGTTGCAGGTAGGTATTTCTACTAGCAGGTGGCTCTGTCAACGACAGTCTCTCTATCGTCAGCTGTGGTCACTTCCATAATAGAATTCTCATAGAGACTTTCTTGAAACCTGTTTTTTATTTTTTCAATATTAGATATTATGATTAGATTCTGATTATGAAGAGCGGTGTCCCTAGTTTATTATAAAAAATTCATCTTGTTGATGGTCTGAAGAAAATAATTTATGTTCATTGTGAGAACAACAATTAATTTATGTGACCTCAAACACAAGTCCAAATACTCAGTTATAGTGAATTATTACATCAAGTTGATTGACATATGTCCTACCTGTTGCTTAGTTATGTAGATAGGTTTGTTGAGGATAATCCACGTGACCGTCTCATGACAGGCAGGCATTGTTGTTGATCCATCATATGTCATGTAGTAATCAGTCTCGGGCAGCAGGCCTCGTACAGATAGTCTTTTAACTTCCACTTCTTGCCCTAACAAATACACAATCACACATAAATACATGGTTAAGATAACCTTACCTTCTCTCAGACTGTTCAAATGTTTATGATTATATTTTCTTCTCCCTGTATCTTTCCCAAAAGATGGTGGTCAGATAATCTGTATAAAAATTTATGTTTTAGTCATGTAAGACACTTATTGTTCATGCCAGAGTAATAAAAGCTCAAGAATAATTTCGTAAAAATAGTTTTATTTTAGTATTAATATGTGTTATATTTAATTTGTTTTTAAAACTTTTTTTTCAAAACTCCACGTGGATAAGCAGATGTCTAGTTTGATTTCTGCTCGGAGCCCATATTTCCACCTACTCATTTACATATTATTGCCAGTAGGGTGGGACTAAGTCCCTTATATTGCGGCCACTCCTGGCCTATTGTACCAGCCCCAGATGATAGGTGAGGGTGATTGTGGAGCAAGTGGTGGAATAAAGATCGGCAGGGGAAACCGAAGTACTCGAAGAAAGTCAGCCCCAGCACCACTTTGTCCACCACAAATCCCACTTGTCCAGACTCGGGATCGAACCCGGCCAGCTGCAATGGGAAACCAGCGACTAATCGCTTGAGCTATGGCACGGTTCTTACTCATTTACATATTAATACAACTTTATAACATTAATATATATTTTTTTTTTCTTTTTTAAAAGATCATCCACAGTACAGCATTAGCTGATGTCACAACATATGACCCCTGCTATAGCTAACTTCCTTACTCTGTTACCGACCAAATCTTGGCTCAGAGATCTAGCACCCGACTTCATAACCAAGGATATGATAATATGCAGGCTTGTCAGGGCTACCACACACCCCAGGGAGTGTGACAGACGAGTGTGGAACAATGATGAAATGACTAGTGGGGGCAAACCGGAAGTGCGGAGAGGAAATCTTGCTCCAGTGCCATTTTATCAACAAGAATCTCACAAGAAGACACCCGGAATCGAACCCAGGGCTCCCATTCAAGGAGGCACTACCAAATGCCCAAATTATGGCATGGGGTTCCTATTAAGGTTGTTGGTAGCAAAAAAAAATATGTATCTCCTTCTAAAACATGTCATTTCTCTTTAAATTATGGATGAAAGTGTTTCAAAATTACTGAAATAATGCGTCGAAACTTCTAAATTGTGGGTTAAATTCCATCCATTCTATGAACCAGGCTACATCATACTGCAACCTTATGGAAGACTGGCCTTTGTGAGTAGGTCCGAATACCACAAATGTGACGAGAATATAATGCAGTAAATTTCTAGTGACGCCATAATGGTTTCTATCATTAGCTGATGGCCATACACTCCTTCTCGCATAATAGATGGAGCAAACTATAAAATACACTTCATCATAAATATGAAACAACCGACGTTTCGGAGAAATGGACTGTAAAGTTCTGAAATTAAATGTTTAAATTATGTTTGTAAATATAACTAATGTATTCTTAATCGAATTACTTAAAATATACAACAAAAGACATATTTGTCAGCGTGATTAATTATATAACACTACATTAAGATGAAAGTTGGAGCGGAGGCGTAGCTCCACTCTCTCTTAACGTTGGTACTATATATAGGAGAATAATCAGTTTCATGCCTCAGCATCTAGAGCTTTGGGAAAGAAATCCGATGCCTACAGGACAGGTTGAATATTGTGACGAAAGAGAATTTCTCTCTCCGGCGGGAATCGAACCCCGATTGTCCGATCGTCCAGCAAATACATTTGAGCCATAACATCTCTCTCACAATATAAATGCTGAATTCATGACAATAACATAATTCGTCCTACCTGAAATTAACAGGTAATATCTAATTTTAAGACAAATTAAATATACAGGGTTAGCCTAAAAGAAACAGACACTTTCAAAGTTTTACAGAAAGAAGAGTTTTAATAGCATGGCCGAGATACTTACATGGTTTGAAAAGTACGCCATGAAGTTTACATGGGTACACCTTTTTACGGGATACAGCACAAATAACGTGCACTTTAGGTGAATCCCTCACGCGCTCTACTACAGCTCTCCGGTTTTCAGTTCCCCATATACGAACGTTGTGTTTGTTCACCGTACCGCTAATGTGGAACGTTGATTCGTCACCGAAAACTGCCGGTTAAAGAAATCGTTACTTCCTTCACTCCGTTGCTGCATGTCCGCACAGAATGAGTGACGGAGGGTTTTGTCGTTTTCTGTGAGGTTCGGCAGTAACTGTAGCCGGTAAGGCAACATTCGTAAGCGTTTCCCACACAGACTTTTGTGGAACTTGAAGTTATAAACTTGCACTTGTCGACTTTTTTGGGCTGCGAGTTTAAATTTCACGAACACGAGTCATTTAAACTGTATATTTTTTTAGGCTAACCCTGTATTATACAGACTGCTCCAGCATACTCACCTCCATGTCTAATTTTATCGAGTTGGTCTGTGAGTATCCTAAGCTCTGGATTTGACAAATCACCGAGCTGCAACAAAAAGGACAGACAACAATCAGAATCAATACCTGATCACTTATTCAGGGACCAGATGTTACAGCCTCTGCAGAAGCAGGTAAGGAACAGGTCTCATGGTTTCCTTGGCAACGGAAAAGTAAAAGCGACAAAGATATTAAATTACAAAAGGGCTCCGTATCGCGTATTCAAAATCCAATCATAATATCCAATATTTAAAAAATACAATATATGAGTCTAAAGAAACTCTTCTAAATAAACATTTTTAATGAAAATGTAAGTTGCTGATAACGGAGAGTTTACTGTAGGCAGATCCATCGGGCCTGTACCAATTCAGAATTAATTTCTGTAACATGAATCTTTTTAGACGTTTAATACAACCATTTTTTTAGCCTACGTTCCTTATTTTGAAAGGTAAATGGAGGCTTGTTACATCATCTTGACGACTATCTGTGTGTGTGTTCCCTAATGTGGACAAGTAACGCCTTGGTAAACACGTTCCAGAAGCAACGAATACACACAGAACAACAGAACTGTTTCAACAGGTGATTTCTATACGGTCTGTATAGTAACATACTAAATATATAATCAAATTTCTTCTTATGAGCTAGGTCCACTCGGCACGGCGGCCACTAATTGGCTTATTGTAGCCTGCCCTTAGTGATTATGATAATGGAGAAATTGGTGGAATGAAAATTGACAGGGGAAACTGAAGTACTCGGAGAAAACCCGCCCCAGCGCCACTTTGTCCACCACTAATCCCACTTGACCAAACCCGGGATCGAACTCGGGCCGCCGCAGTGGGAAGCCAGCGACTAACAGCTTCAGCTATGGCGCGGCCTCCAAGGCTTTTTCTCTTTCTTCAGTACCTTCAGGCAAACACCTACATCATACTTCAGTCAGGCCACGGCCGCGTATTTCCAAACCCTTTCCCATCCTTTCGACACTGCACGCTACAGTCTACATACTGAGAGCTTAGTAAGGAACACACAGAGAATTTAGAAATGAAAGAAGGTAAAGATATCCCAGTAACAGGCCGTGGAGGCCCATAGGGTTGTGAGACGTCGAGGTTCCCAGATTTTCTAGACAATCGGCTCACAGATGGCAGTAAGATTGTCAGCCTTACGCGCCGGCCTCACCTTTACCTCCAGGAAGATTCCTGGTACTCATTTATGGTAGACGCTGAGCCGACCCCAGGGTCATAGTGAGACTGGAAGGATTAGGTAAATTGGGGGAAAAAAAATCCACCTTATCGGGTCTCAAACCCGCGACCTTCCGGCTTATAGCATAGTGCCTCAACCAACTACGCTACCGCGTGTCTCCACAACGGAAATAAATAAAGGCAAGAACATCCCTGAGCTTAACTAAGCACCGCAACATGAAGACGTAAGCTGATCCAAGCATTCTTAAACTCTGCGCTCGAGTTGGCTGATCAGCTTCACGTACCGGCCGTCTTACCAAAGAAGGAAAACCCCTTGAACCCAACTGAATAAGGGGCTTGGTTAACCCCAAGGGCGGTCTGGACGCCATCGAGAAAGCAAATCCTTCCTGCCTCTGTGGGGCATCGAACACCGATTTTCCGGTCATCCAGTCCGTAGCCCAGTCACTATACTGAGTGATACAAATTTTGACACAATGTTCTAAGCTAGACATATTTCCCCGCTCTTCAGAACGGACTTTACTCCCGTGTTCCATGTATCATAACTATTGCCACTAGTGACATCTGTTTGACTGCTTCTACATTTATAGCATTGCTCTGCGGTCAGCCTATACTGCACGTAGACTGGGAAGTGATTACCATATCCTGTCTTAGGACAGAGCGGACAGTGCATCCCCCATTTGTGTATACATGGCTACGTTTCAGCCGTCACGTGTACGTAGTGAGAACCAAGTCTGAATTATTCAAATGGCGAAGCGGAAAAAGGATGCTAATTCTACATCCTACCTTATGTGTCTAGGGAACTTGGCCTTTGGTAATTAAGACAAGATTGTAAACATATACAGTGTACAGTTAACAGGCTCGTCTGGCACAAAGAATTATAAATGACATGCTAAAATGTTTATTGCAATAAAATATAACATTTCAAGTATTTAAACAGACAGGCTTGAAATAAATATGCATTCATATAAATGTATATTTTAATGTATTGTTTAGGTTCACGGACGGGAACCCGTGTTTTCAACATGGTGGAGTTGGGATAGCTCAGTCGGTATAGTGACGGGTTACAGGGTGGAGGGCTTGGATTCGTTCCCCGGCAGTGTAAGATTTTTATCTTCTCCGCAGGGTCCAGACAACCTCTGGGGCTCGCTCAGCCCCCTATCCAGGGGGTACCGAGGTCTATTTCCCCGGGTGGGGAAACCACTGTGGACACAAACAGTGCCCACACTGGTTCCTTGCTCGTGGATTTTTTTGTACCCTGAAGATGGAGGCGATACGTTCATCCGAAACGTCAGTTAATACAATATTTACAGGGTGCCACATCCCAGAAGACGGCTTTATTAATTAACATACATTATTTGTAAGAAAATTAAAAATTTGTAGGGCTGTTTAATTTCTTATTTGTAGTTTATTCAATGATGATTTTAGTAGCTCACAATATACACCGTCCAATGGTAAGATAATTAATGCCTGGTAAATTGTAAAAGATTTAGAAGGAAGCGGTCGTGGCCTATCTGAGGTACTATCCCATTATTTNCCATTTTCTCAAGGTGTAGGAAAAAAACACTGAAAATCTGAGGCAGGATAGCCAGTGCCCTGGCCTAAATTCGAACAGGACACCTTCCAAATATATCAGAAGTGTTACTGCCTGAGCCAACGAGTTCGGTTATGGTCTGTTGTAGACCATGTATGGAATCGATTTTTTTTTTTTTGGAACTACTGAATTGTGAGTCAAATAGTTTTTGTACCGGGAACCGACATAGAAGAGCCTTGAATACTTTTTATTCCATTTTGTGAAGCCTTTGGGATATTTTTTAATTTTGGAATCCGTTGACACATCCCATCCGTCCACGATTTGTACAAGTCTGATCAGACTGCCTAATCACAAGACAGCATGGAAACCCTTATACGAGGCTATACACTGTATTCATACTTGAAAAGATATGCTTTTAAAACTTAAACAAAAATGCAGGAATTGATACAAATTTACATGATATAAAAGGTAGGAAGAAGATTCCATTTTCTGTCAATTTCACGCAACGGCTTTTAATTCCACGAGTTCTTTTTTGAGTGTTACCAAACAATACGGAGCTCAGTCTCCCTCGAGGAACTCATGGTCAATAAATAATCAATAAATCTCATGCCTCTTACGAAATCCGAAAGTCCATTACCATATTCACAAAAACCCGGATCCCATTCTGAGCCACATATTCACACCCCAAGACTTTGCAAGTTGCCTCAAACGGTAACACGTTTCGTATTCGGCAGGTATGCGATTCAAATCACGGCCAGGACATCGAATTGAATGCCTCTCGCTTAGCTTATATTCAGTCTTGAAGAAGGAAGCACTCAGTCTCTCTGAAAACGTCAATGAGTTCTATTGGACTATTCAGCGCCACACTCCAGAGAATAATATTCTTGCAGGTGGCCAAGCTGCCTTCGCCAGCTTAAACACTAGGATCGTGGGTTCGAATCCCACTTGAGGCATGAATGTCTATATTCGTTTATTCTGTGTTTGTGTTGTTCTGTGTGAAGGTAGAGGCCTTGCGACGGGCCGATCCACCGTACAAAAAGTCCTACCGACTGTGTATAGGATTATGAAACTGAAAAAAAAGAAGCGACCAGGGCCCAACAAAGGGCTGTAGAGCCATAGATAGACCAGTGTTTAGAAAAGTAATACTCAGGAAACATCTGGCCCCCAACAGGGACTAGTGAAGAGTCATATAGGCGATAGTACACGGACAGCAAGTTCAAGATTACTACCTGTTACATAGTTTTGTAAGACCTTACACTACAGAAGATTCTGTTGTGTTTGATATAGAGTTCAGACGGTAAAGTTCAAGTGGCTCATAAGCTCAATTANAAAAAAAGAAACGACCAGGGCCCAACAAAGGGCTGTAGAGCCATAGATAGACCAGTGTTTAGAAAAGTAATACTCAGGAAACATCTGGCCCCCAACAGGGACTAGTGAAGAGTCATAGGAAATGAGTGGTGAGCTTCACGTCTCGGCCGCTATATCCCTGGGGAAAACGTCAGGTACTCATTTGTTATGGGGCTTAGCGGGTCACAGATCAAGTCTGGATGCTACGGTGAAGAGAAAATTTTCTACCCCTGCCGTAAATCTAACTCCAATTCCCTGGTCGCTAAATCCGTAGCCTAGATTTTTTTGACTGACATACACTGTTTCCTGTACATCGGATGGAGGGACAAGAATTGCAGAAGGAATTTCGATGGCGAAATACAGAAAACATCTACTTAAACCGAGGTGATCAGAAAAAACGATCTTAGGGAAACTGGTTTTGAGGAAGGCAGGTGGGTGAACATGGCTCAGCATCGTATTTAACGGTGTATTGAACTATCTGGTTTATTTAGATTGAGCAGTGTTGGAGCACAGTGTTGTGCGCACCCTCTGTTGCCGACTGTAGAAACTACACTCCATGTTATTCTTAAGCCCAGTTTGAGGGCGACAATGTCCTGACATTATATTGTGACCGTGTAAATTGATGGATGGCTTGTGTGACAAGGAAATACCAAGGGAAGCGAGTGCATCTCATTTCAACTCAAATATCGGACACAATACTAACCAATTAAAAAATATTCGCTCGTTTTTCGAGATGAGCCGCTTTGAACAGTACTGATCGGGCAGCCGGTGTAGCGGTAACGCTCTAGGCTAGTATTCTGGAAGTCCTAGGTTCGATCTGGGCTTGGTCTTCGAATATCCTGACTGAGGTTTCGCGTATTTTTCCTCTGTAGTTGGTTGAGACACTATGCTACAAGCTCAAAGTAGTGGGTTCGATTCCCGATGAGGTTATTTCATTTTTTTTTTCAATTCACCTAATCCTTCCAGCCTCTAACA